ACCTTATGTATCCTCCACAATGAACCCATATTGCTTTTGCAACAAGAAACAAAACTCTGTTAGTACAGCTTCTTCTCAACTTCTGCAGAAGTAGGAAATTGTTGGGGATGGAGAGTACTAATTACTTATGTGAGTATTTGCTGTAAGCACACATACTTTCATTTATGGTTTCACACCTCCTATGGCAACATCAACTCAGGGAGGGAAACTGGGTTTCTCTTTTCTGTGTGTTACTACAGTCTAAATTGCTATGCTCTGTAAAGGAGTTTTGCATATCCAGGGCCTAATAAAAAGTGTGTAAGATGAATTACTGATTTATTAGATCAATAACTTCCCTACCTCCCTATGCTACCATTTGTTATGGTGGAACCCAACAATTCAGTCAATCTCATCCTATTTTATTAATGACCACACATACTTTTGCATAGTTTTTATTTTTCTTTCAGCATTTTAATATCATTTATTTAAATCATAATTCTTAGGATTTTAAGATATACTGTTAATATTTTTTCAAAAGCTCTAACTTTTATGAAGTAATTCTGAAAAGACTTTAATATTCTTATACTTATTTTATCATAAGTATAAAAATATATTCTGTTGAATTTAATTCTTTTTAATCATTTCTCTTTAGAATGGTTGATGGCAAACTAAGTAAAAGTAGGAAGAGGTTTTTCCTTAGACAGGTCTCACTATTGTAGTTCACGCTGGCTCTGAACTCATTCTGTAGCCCACACTGGCCTTGAACTTGTGGTGATCCTCCTGCCTCTGCCTCCCAAGTGCTGGGATTACAGGCATGTGCCACCACGCCCGGCTAGAAAGCGTTTTAGAAATCGAGTTAAAAAACATTGAACTTAGGAGTTTAATAGAAGAGCTGAGGATGAGGCTCAGTGGTAGTTAAAAGAGCTGTAGCAACCTAATGACAGTAACTTTTGACACATATACCTGAGGTAAACAATTGTTCTGAAGGGCGGAGGTAACCAACTGATGAACAGAAAGAGATGTTGATGGACACATCCTTAAGCCCTCACTCCTTCTTTCTTTCCTTCCCCAACTAACTTGGCACAATTGTTCAGGTCCTCACACGAAGAACAGCATATGTTGTTTCTTAAGGGTGGGTGCAAACACCTGGTGCAGCCATTCCATGAACAACTACCTTTGACCCAGGCTTTCACAATGGCCTCCACATGACAGGCAGCAAAAGGACAAAACCTCATTCTCCTTCCCTCCTGAAACAGAAACTTCATTAAGTTGATCAAAATAACTTTACTTAAATGTACCTACAAAAAAAACTTCTACTGTTCTATTTTTTATTTTAAAGAGAATAAAAAACAAAACAGTAACAAAGTAACATAGACAAAAACAAAACAAAGCAAAAACAATAAAAATGATACAGGGTTTCAAAATAGAAGAAGGATAGCTGGGATAACTGTACTGCTGATGTCTAATGGTTTACAGAAAGGAACGGTTAATGCTTAATTTTTGTGAACAATTTTGCATGCTTGTATCTGGTAATCTGAACAACAAACTTGAAGACAACAACAGGAAATTTAACAACCATTAGTGCATTCCTACCATCTTATCTAGTGAAGCTTGTATCATTTCTAATGTTTTCTAAAATTATTTTTTATTCTCTTTAATGGTTTGATCAGTCTTGTATTCTTACATCTGGTAATCTGAGCAACGTCACTGAAAACAACAATATGTAATACTATTCTTCTATTCAATGTTCTAGTTCTTCCCCAGCCTCTGGTGTGCCTGTTTTACTTATAGGTGACTATGCAAAGTACTGATAGTGCTGAGGGCTTCCAATGGACCCCCAGCAACCAACTTGAAAAGCACTGAAAAGACCCTAAGGGAGCTGGGCACGTTGACATGCACATGCAGTCCCAGCACTTAGGAGGCTGAAGCTGGACAACTGCTTGAACTCGGGAGTCTGAGGTCAGCGTATGCAACAGAGCGAGACCACATTTCAAGATAAAAAATAGAAAAAGAAGATGCCGTGAAACTCTAGGTTTAGAGACAGCTATGAGATTGTTGTTAGTCCCCCAAACATCCCTTGTTCCACGTTGCCTGTGACAATGTCTGCATAATTTACATCATTTAATATTAATGTTAAGAATCTGAAAATTTTCAGTTTTTATTTCATCTTAATTCCAATGTATAACATGTGCCAAATGGCTGGTAAGTACAGGAAGAAGTCATAGTCTGGGTGGAAACAAATGCAATGCGGAGGACCTTGAATTTCTTCTACACTAGTATGAATTTGGTGCGCCACAAAAAATGGGGTTAAACTTCAAATGCTGTCTTCATCACAATAGTTGGTCCAGTTTGCTGGTCCTGGCAAAATCCTGTCTAAAACATATGACAGCTAGTCCAATTAGTCCTGGCTAAAACATATGACTACTTTTTTTTCCCCTTTCTGTACTGGGGATTTAACCCAGGGCCTCTCACACATCAGGCAAGCATTCTATCACTGAGCTACATACCCAGCCCTTTTTATTTTGAAATAGGGTCTGCCTGAATTGCATTGGTTGGCCTCAAACTTAAGATCACCCTTCCTCAGCCTCCCCAGGAGGTGAGATTACAGGCCCAGCTTAATGTAACCATTCTTATCCTTCAGTTAAAAGCTTTCTGGCTGCAAATTCCAGTCCATCAAAGCATAGAAACAGATGTAAAAGATAAAGGCCAAAAAGTATAGCCAAAGGTATCCATAGCAAGTTCAAAAATAATATTCTTTTTATGTACATGAATACTGCCTACAACTTCTCATTCTTAAATTATATGTAAGTCCATAATATTTTACTGTGCTAGCGGAGATACTAGACACTTAAAGGTTTGACAAAAAATAATAAATTTTATATATATTCACATATAGTCCTGATTACCAACAGAATACATGCTCATTCTACAAATTGGGAAATTACAATAGAAAACAAAAATCACTATAAAACCTACCAATTTCAGATAACTAAAATTTTTGTTCATATAAAATCAGTTTTTCACTATTTTAACCAAAGTTAGTATTATAACGCATTGGTGAAAATTGCTTTTCTATTGAATATTACATGGTAAACATTTTCTTGTATCACTGTTTTTTAAAGTATAATTTTTAAAATGGTAGTACATCTAGGTTTTATGTAAATTATCACTTTTATTCAGATACAGTTTAGAAATTTTATTATTAGGTCAAATATAGTGTAATGTTCTGCTACTTATGGTCAAACTGTCACAATGCCTGGGACTGTTTTAAATTAAGGCATTAGCAGAGCT